GTGTGTGTGTGTGTGTGTGTGTGTGTGTGTGTGTGTGTGTGTGTGTGTGTGTGTCGAAGTGCCATATGCAACCATAGCAACCCATTCGAGGGAATCTCCATTAGCCATAGATATACCATTAGTTCTGCAGGCGGTAGGATTACATACCTTGGCATTCAGGTGTCGCAGCAGTCTCTCCTCGTACGCATCATCTGGCAAACCAAGCACACACTTGTATGCATAAAGAAGAGAAGTACAGCAGGCGGAGGAAGAAGAAGAGTGAGTAGGGAGCATGATGGTCAATGCCATCAACACCAGCAGTATAACTGGTGGAGGAGGGGTGGCGCATCCCCTAAAGCGCTTTTCGCCGCTTGCGCCTATCACGGCTCATCAGAGGGTGAGGTTCCTCTGGCTCCCAGTGGTAGTGAGGAGGCAAGTGGTGAGGATTTGAGCAGCCGGTGTTCTGAGCCGAACTTACCATGTGCTCGTTGGCTTCAGCTTCGGCGAGGTATTTGTCCATAGCAGCCATTCCTGTCCACGTCCTGAGATGGCCCGTCGTGATCGCAGTGTAAGGCTTCACTGCCTACGATCTGCCGATCAGCACTCACATCAGCAGCGTTTGTTCACGTATGTGAACTATTAGCAACTGCTAAGGAGAAAGAAAGACAGCCTCCTTTCTCAGGTAGCTATGGAGGGTCTAGTCGTCCCGTCCGCAGTACCAAGTCTGAGGTTGGAGCGAGGAGAGCAGGGAGGGAAGGGAATAACGCAGGCAGTAGTATGTGCAACCAACCGTGGGTCAGTCCGGCTGAAGATGCGGATGAACCCATTGGCTGCATACTTTTAAGCAGGTGTAATGAGGTGGCGATGCAGCTGGATGGTGTGGAAGGTGTGAGCGGGTGTGTGGGTATAGTTGGTACGAGTGGGCGTGGTAGATTGCTGGGCTAGCGGGGTTGGGTGGTGTGTGGTAAGGGTGCCAAGTCGTGCGTGCGGTGGGGGTGCATGTAGTCTGGTTTTGGGATTCAACAGGTCGGGAGGTGGTTGGGGAGGGATTTCTTCTTTTGTTCTTTGTGGTACGGGGGGTGGGTGTGTATGCAAGGATGGAAGGCGTGTATTCTTTTGGTGAGCAATGTCTTTTTTGCAGGTTCTCAGAAGTCAGTTGTTTGTATGTGTGGTCATGGGCGGGGTGGGTCGGGTTGTGTCCGTTTGAATTTTCAGAGCTCTGTACTTTTACACTGTCTGCAGTTTGCTGAGAAGTCACGTTTTCGGGTGTTTGTCCGTATGTGTTTCAGTCAGTAGTGGGGGGAAGGGCGAGTTATTTTTTAAAAAATTAAAAAATTGAGTATGCAGGTCAAGTGTTGGCATTTTGCGTATGTGTTTTGTCGTTTTTGTTTTTGTTTTTTGTACTCAGAGCGTGTGGCTTGTTTTTTGTTTTTTGTTTTTTTGTTCTCGAGTTCTTGGTTCTTGCTGGCGTACGCCACATTGCTCGTGTGTGGGTGTGCCTTCTTGCGTTGGGGGTGCGAGTTTGGGGATGGTGAGCGGTAGGGTGGACTCTGTTTATTTCGATATGAGGTCCTTGGTTGGTTGTGTGGGTTTATTTATTTTATATGACTGTCATGTTTAACAGGTTGTGCACAGAGGGTTGTATTTTTGTATCTGCAGGTCATATGTGGGTTTCGTTCTAGTATTTTAGTCTGTATATTTGTTTTGTCGTTTTTGGTTCTTGTTTTTTTGTTCTCAGTGCGTGTGGCCTGTTTTTTGCTTTTTGTTCTTTGGTACTTGGTCCTTGCTTGCGTACGTCGAGTTGCTCGTGTGTGGGTGTGCTTTCTTTAATTGGGGGTGCGAGTTTGGGGATGGTGGGCGGGGAGGTGGTTTCTATTTTCTCTGTAGTAAGGTTCTGGGTTGATTGTGTGGGTCTTTTTTAATCTTTCATTTTACCTGACCTTCCTGCTTAGTGGTAGTGCACAGAGGGCTTGTGTTTTTGTGTCTGCAGGTCATATGCGGGTGTTGTTCTGGTATTTTTGTCTGTATATTTGTTTTGTCGTTTTGGTTCTTGTTTTTTTTTTTCTCAGTGCGTGTGGCCTGTTTTTTTGCTTTTTGTTTTTTGATCTTTGGTGCTTGGTTCTTGCTTGTCGAGTTGCTCGTGTGTGGGTGTGCTTTCTTTCATTGGGGGTGTGAGTTTGGGGATGGTGGGCGGGAAGGTGGTTTCTATTTACTCTGTAGTAAGGTGATTGTGTGGGTCTTTTTATTCTTCCATTTTACCTGACCTTCCTGCTAAATGGTGGTGCAGAAGTGGTTGTATTTTTATGTCTGCAGTGGTGTATAAAAAAGTTATGCTTTGTTTACTGTGTCAGTGGTAGTATGCAGTAGGTTGTAGAAGTAATGTTGGTTGGTCGGTAAGTGGTGATTGACTGTGTGATGTTTATCAGTTTTGATTTTGGTTGTTTGTGCAGGTAGTTAAATGTGTGTGTGTGTGTGTGTGTGTGTATGTGTGTGTGTGTGTGTGTGTGTGTGTGTGTGTGACTATCGCACGAAGTGCCATGCCAACTAATGTTCACGCCCTACCGCCGCGCACTGCAACGCCAACTAGGGCGAGAACTACCACTGCCACCTGAATTCTCTCTCTCTCTCTCTCTCTCTCTCTCTCTCTCTCTCTCTCTCCAAAACCAACTACTGCGCCAACTGCCGTCCGCGCCCACCAACTACCTCGCCCGCACTAAGTTCTTTGGTAGTTAGAAGAAGAAGAAGAAGAAGAAGAAGAAGAAGAAGAAGAAGAAGCAGAAGCAGAAGCAGAAGCAGAAGCAGAAGTAGAAGCAGCAGCAGCAGCAGAAGAAGAAGAAGAAGAAGAAGAAGAAGAAGAGGTAACTAAAAGCTTACCGGTGGCACGCTGGCTGGGGGGCAATGTCACAACCGATGGGGATGGAGGCGAGGACAGGGATGGTGGCGAAGACGACGACGGGCTCCACGTCGACGTGCTGGAGGAGCGACGAGCTGGAGATGACGGGGAGGGCACGCGGGCGGAGTCCCACTATCGAATGTCGAATGAGCAGGGGAGGGAATGGGCGGTAGGTTGGGGGCAGCAGGAGGGCAGAGGCGAGTGAGAGAGGAAATAGGCCGATGGGCGAGGTAGGGCCGCTACTTCCCGCCCAAACACTTTGAAAAGAACGGCCTGTATGGGCCGCCGATCTCTCGAGATAGGCAACCCTTTTCAATGCTTTTGGGCGGGACTACCGGACCCGATCTGAATTTCTTTTGGGCCAGGAGACCTCTACGGCCTGTGCAGAGGCCTCATGGCCCAAAAAAGAAATGGTAAGACCCCCGAGATTGGATGCGCTACGGCCAATCGGGGGGGGGGGGGGGAGGGGCCCCTGGTCCTACCGGGTTTGCAGCACTGTGCTCAACTGATTTTGCATTGGGGTTCGAACTTGCGTCTGCATTTCAACAGTTCGTGGATGCACCAACTGAGCTAGACTCGAAGGACTCCACTGCTCACCGTTCTGCATGCATTCTTACGCCTTCCTGGCATAGGTGCGTCCGAACGAGTCCAGCATTATTTTGAATGTCTCAGGACGATTATGAGCTCCAGGTACACGTAGAACGTTTGGTTATGTGGCGAGGGCCCTTGTTTCGAACTTCCTATGGATTTAATACTACGAGGGAATGAGTCGCAGCAGGCCAAGATGCAGCACCGGTCTTGGGTATCCCACATCTGCTATGGGAAGAGAATGTAGTGTGCACAGGATATAGTGCCTGAATGCATACCTTAAAAAATCCCTCTGGCTCTGCGATGACTGGTCTGTGCCCACTCAGGACTTCCTGGAAGAGAATGCCAGAGCAAATCAGAAGAGGACAACCAGTCATTTAATCTTCAGGAATCATAAAAGCATATATTCGATTCAGTGGCAAAGAACTATTCCTCTTCCCCACCCAAGAAGTAGTCCTCTTCCCCACCCGCACCTTTTCTCCTGGCGAACTGTTATTAATGACTGGCAAGAAACGCAGATGCACACAGACGATCAAGCAAACAGCAGTTGCAAAGGGAGAGGCACGGTCCCTGCTGATCAAAATTGTAGAAACCGAAATTCGATGTAGGTGGCACAGTCGAACTTTCAGTTCAGTTCAGGCCCAAGAAGTTTCAAGGCAAGAAAAGAGCCTTTTATAGGGACTGGCTAATCCGAGGCAAGATTGCGCGCGTTGTCGGACACACATTGAGATGGAAGATTTGGCACTCCAAAGGTCACAGCCAAACGGTTCACTCAGGGCCACACGAAGGAGCTGCAGATAGTATCCGATTCCGGCTCACATATCGCTCCACAACGCTCTGAGATAGCCCTCCAATGGTGGCAGAGCCTGGACCTCAGTGGTTCTTGCTTGGGTTACGACTTTAAGACATGCATAGTCAAGGCTGAGACTGCGAGGAACGAGAGGGACAGACAATCCGGCAGTCAATCCTCCATAATGGAGCAATTAATGCTACCCTGCGGTCCTTCGGCCGAGACAAAAGGAAGGGTGGAGTGGGCATATCTTGTATTGAGTTTTAACTTGTCCCGGTGAAATGGAACCAGACTGATGCTTACCAGAACGGACAAGGACCCGGGACCATTAGCACCTGTTTATTCTAAGATATATATATCGTCACAAACAGAACTGCCCGGTAAAAC